TTACGCAAATCTTTGATCCAGTTTGCAAAGGCGATTGTTATGAAACGATGAAAACCTGAACTGTGCAAGCAGAAAGAATTATTGGCCTTACCTTGGTCGAAAGATGGATGAAGTTACCGCAAACAGCTCATCCACGGTAACTGTTGCTTGCTAGTTTTCATTACATCTTTGACCATAGTCCTGAAGAGATACAGTGAAACTTTTCCGGAAATAAATTTTACATTATGCTGCTATGTTATTCATTCAAAAATAGAATCTAACAGTATAGATGTGATCCTACACACTCTGAAACGGACGCAATTTACCATCCAGGTGCAAAGTGTTTGTTCAAGACTGGAAGGAGCCTGTGCCTACACTAGCCCTTCATGGTGACCATCTGGAAGTAGCTGAGAGCCTTCGGCACCCCGGGAGCCTCATCGCAGTTGGAGGTGGTGTTGGGGAGGAAATCACATGACGAATGGCAAAAGCTAGGACAGCTTTTGCCAACCTGTGGTGTTGTCATGACATCTGACTGTCCCTTAACGGAAGGGTGCACATCGCCGTGGTTAGTAGTTTTCTGATTTACGGTTGCGAGACATCCCAGCTAAGGATGCTACTGGGCATTCTGTATTATTTCGCCTGTTTGCCGAGCTTGACAATTTGTTTGCAATCATTTCGAGAGAACCGATTTTCAATATTTATGTATTCAACCACAGGCATCTTCGAAGCAATGCCCGAATCGGTGAGAATATCGGGTGAGCAATGACGAGGTTCGTCGTCGTACGTTGATTGTGAATAGCCGTTCTCCAAAAGAAGTAATCGCTTTACACCGCCTTGGATGGCTCAAACGCTTTTTGTGTATGCCTGTTCATCGTTTACCTTTCGGTGCTCTCTTTTCACGTACTGAGCAATGCCGGAAGGAATGTCGCGGAGGTCAGACTATGAAGTAGCGGTATGAAGAAGCTATCTTCAGGATTGGCTTCGGTTGTTGCAGCCCACCTTTCCGGATGGGGCCCAAGGGAAAAGTATGATAGTCTTTGAATAGAGACGCAGATAGATATGGTCCAGAATGGAAGTCAGTAGCACAAATGCTGTACGTTGCACTATAAAAACTATAAACTACCACAAAAAAATAACAAAAAGTGTACGATGAAACAAACAAAAATAGTGTTATTCTTGTTCTCTTAATTCACTGAAATTGTTTGATTAACATATCACTGTTCTGTATTCCAATCCCCACATCTGTTGTCATTATTATTGTTGAGTTGGCACCATGCTTACCCGCAAATCACTGGTAAATATACAGGTTGCCGCTGAAAGGAGACTGTAGGTAGAGATACAGGACATTGGTCTTGCAATGTTTTGAAAGCAAATAAAACAGGGGAGCGATTCATTTGATTTTATTCATATAATTAACTGAGCCATAGACACCGCATGCGCTCGAACACAAAAGATTGAGGTCAAACAGACATGCGCTTTTGAAGTCTACCGCATAGTTTTACAGGGGAGATGAAAATAATACTGGCTTGAACAGGCAGAAACGCGTGTGGGTCATGCGCATTCATGTTCAGACACAAGGACATAGAGGATGGGGATGAGTAACTCGTTTGTGATTGGTCTTGCAACGTGATTTCTCCCCGATTCAGTTTGCTTTGTGCGGTACTTTTTATTATCTAGATTTCAGTCCCGTGGATTAAGCTTGGGGCATTCACTGTGCATGAAGTTCCGTGGCATAATCATTCCGTCCTGGTTAGCACTGAGGAGTAGAAAAAAACACGGAAGATTCCAATAAACACTTCAAGAGTAAATGCCAAAAAGAATTTATCGCTGAACAAACATAGGACCATAATTAATTACGTCCAGTCATTATTGACAGAATCAAGAAAATTTTAATGTACCGACCTTCCGGAGCCACTGCTGGGTTGCGTAACTTTTACTGACGCGTGACTAACTGTACGTTGCATTTTTGTTACTCATAATCACTTTGGACGGTGGTGATCGAGTAGCATCAACTTTCTGTCCACCATCTCGTATAATGCATGAGTCGAACCCCTCCAAACACTGGGATCATATCTTCCCCATTGTTGTTTGGCAGCCTTCAGTCGGCCGCGTCCCGCTTCTGAATACCAAAAGACCATTATTGCGTTTGGGTGACTAAGGAATGGGATAAGGTCGTCACTCGGTTGTCTGTAGTGACCAACAATAAGGTCTGTATGTGCTTGATGCTAGACACGAGCAGTAAGCAATCGTACACAGATTGTCAGAATCCCGTCTGCTCGGTTCCTCTACCTCCACGAAATCATACAGGTTAATTGCAGTATCTAGGTGGTCGCACATCGTATCACAACCAGTATCGTATAAAAAGGGTTATTCATCAGTTTATGAAATAGTACGATTCGAGAGCAATGGCAAAATGTAAAAAAACGTTAACCGGACGGATTTTCAAAATCGCACATACTTAGTCGACTTATTACTATGGGATGTGGTTGCAGTGTAGACATAAAGGCTACTAAATTACGTAAATGTTCAGCCCGAAGACTGTCACATTCCGAAGGTTGAACTCACATGTCAAATGTCAAATAAGCCAGCACGTGATTGATATGATGCTCCGGGATTTCATCGATTTTCCCCAAATAACGATAGAATTCAAGCCACTGATCAAACTGAACTCGTGCTGCTCCACCTTCCGGATCTGCGGTCAATAGTTCGCAAATCAGCTTCAATGTCTCGGGCAAATTCTGGTAAATGAAGCGAGATCAATGTAAGCATGTGAGTATCAACTATGCTTGAAGGGTAACAATATTGCTCAAGGGTCCTGTTACAACCGAAGTTTCATTATATATATGGTTACTCATTATATGTATATATATATCCATTGTATTGTATTGTATTGTATTGTGATAACTTCTGCAGGCATGAAGACTACATTTCAGTTAAGAGTACACAGTTTGGGGTAAGGGGGAAAAATATATAAAAAACGATTACAATGGAAAAGAAACGGAAATTAAATCCATCTCGACGAGACTGCACCTTGACGTGGTGTGATGGCTTGCGCGCTTCAGCGACCGTGCGAGCTACACAGGATGGCTTCTCACAGCCGTAGATCCAACCATGCCTGAAAGGTCAACGGGTAGAGGCCAGACGAAGACCAGTCTCACAAGGCCAGCTGCTTGGGCACCTCCTGGCTTCCATCCTCTATCCACACCCACCCCTGGAGAGGCCACTCCAGCAAATAAACAC